CAATGTGATATGTCATTTAATTTCTCAACTGTTACTCCCATAGGCATTGATCGCTAAAGCTTCTGGTTGATGTCTAATTATTATTCTCTGTCATAATATGTACCTCTCTCTCTCATGAAACCAAAGGACACAGAAACCATTGCTTTATTGTGTCCCTCTGAGTGCCAAAAAAGTGACCTGGATCCCTCAGGATAGCTTTAAAGAGAAAAAGAAAACAAAATAAACAAACAAAAAAAACCCCAAACACAGATCTACTAAAGAGCAGCGACAAAGACTTTAAATTATATAATCTGATCTGCTCTATACTCCCTCTATACAGCTTTTGTTATTGCCAGAAGAATAATATTAGGTATTTAATAAATTCCAAAAGTAGTTAGCAAAAAAGAGAATGTATAGAAAAAACTCTTTTAAATGTAATTGTTAAAGCTCAGTAACTAAAACTGAGAATATTAGTAAAGAAAAAAGCAATGGTAACACCCTAGGATCAGTAAGCACACTCAACATCCAGCAATTGGTCTCTAAATTTCATTCCCAATAAAAGAAATCAGTGCACAGTTCAGTGGGTGGAATGAGAGGGTGAAGGAAATGGGAAGAATTCTGTGAGAACCTGATAAGATTGGGTAATGATAGATAAGGTCCAAAGGGAACTGATTTTAGAAAACACAATGCATGTGAATGATTGTATAAAACACACTATGAATGAAGAATACTATGAAACACAATGTATACAAACTAGTATTATTTTTAAAACGTGAACTGCAGGGCGGGGGGAGGGAGGAAAATGTGCAACAATGAATGAATGAAAAATTCAACTTTTCTATAAATTTTCATTAAAATCAAAATTTTTAAAATACATAATGAAAAAAAGAAGTACGTATTCTTTGGAGAAATGTCTGATTCTAATTCTAAGGCTGGGCAGATAATTAAAATATGGAGTAGAAAAAAGTTCTTACTTCAAGTAAAATTCCAGGATTCTACTTAGCAAACAGTGCAGTAAGAACTATCTGAAGCAAGAATAGTTAAATGTATATCAAAATAACTGGTGCATGGTATAAAAAATAAGATGTTTACATGGTCTCAGAGTATCCCCCACGGCGAATTCTTACTAAGTACAAAAGGTAAACAGTAACTTTCTAACCTAGTCAAAGTTAATTAACATCACCAGTAATAAAACAATCTGGCATCATATGCCTCCTGATGTAATGTTCCAAGGACAGATAATTACAACTCTTACATTTTTTGCAAAGTGCCTGGTGGCTTGTTGCTGTTATGTGATGTCAAGTTGCCTGCGACTTATAGTGACCCTAAGTACAACAGCCCTAAAACCTTCTCTATCCTGTTCCAATCTCACTGTCTCCAATACACCTACCCCCATTACCCCACTCACTGAATCAATTCACCTCATAGAGGGTCCTCCTCTCCTGCGCTTTCTCTCCAACCTCCCAAGCAGGATGTCCTTCTCCAAGGACAGGTCCCTCCTTGCAACATGTCCAAAGTATGTCAGATGAAGCCTCAGAATCCTTGCCTCCAAGGAGCAGCCTGGTTTAACCCTGTCCAGACTAAACCTGTTCATTTTTTTAGCAGTCCATGGTATATTCAATACTCTTCTCCAGCACCACAGCTCTAAGGCACCAATTCTCTTTCTATACTCAATAGTCATTGTCCAGCTCTCTGACACATAGTAAGAGATTGCAAAGACCATATCCTGTATCGGGTGTACCTTAGTCTCCAGAGTGACACCACTGCTCTTCAGTACTTTGGAAAGGTCCCTAACAGCAGACTTTCCCCATCACAATATGTCTTTTAATTTCCTGGCTGCTGGTGCCAACAGTATTGACTGTGGAGCCAGGCAAACTAAAGATGTAAACAATCTCAATCTCTTTACCATCCATCCTGATGTGGCCAATTGGCCCAGTAAGTGAGAATCTTTGTTTTCTTGATATTGAGCCTCAAACCATATTGAAGGCTGCAGTCCTTGACCTTCTGCAGCAAGCACTTCAGGTCCTAGTCAGTTTCAGCAAATGGCTTGTAGTACAGGAATCTCAGGCTGCTAAAAAAAAAGTCAGCAGTTCCAATTCAAGCACCACAACAAGGGGAAAAGGTAATAGATTCCTGTAAAGCTGTGCAGCCTCACAAGCCAAGGAGAATCACCAAATTCAGAGTCAACTCTATAGTAGTAGGTTTGGTTTTGGTTTGTGCCTGTTTTTGCCAAAAACGTATAGAATAATGAAGAAATAAACAAACCCAATTTGAGAAACAATCTACAAAATAACTGACAAATATTATTCAAAGCTGTCAAAGTCATTAAAAAAAGGATAAAGAATTGTCTTAGAATAAATAAAATGAAAAGATAGGACAACCTAATACAACATGTGCATTATACTCAGCATATGAATAAATACAGGGCATATAGCAGCAATGGGCTCAGAGATGGGCATTTGAGCCATGAGGGTGGCAGAAGGACAGGATTGTACTCAGCTCAAGGGCACATAACAACAACAACAAATAAGACATATAGTTGATTCTAGATAATCCTAGAACAGAAATGAGACATTACTGATCCATTTAGTAAAATGGTCTGTGTTTCATTGATTATGCAAAGGCGTTTGACTGTGTGGATTACAACAAACTGTGGCTGACTCTGAGAAGAATGGGAAATCCAGAACACTTGATCCTGTTAATGTGAAAGCTATACTTGGACCAGGAGATAGTCATCATAACAGAGCAAGGAAACAGTGCATGGTACAAAACTGGGAAGGGTGTACACCAGGTTTGTGTCCTGTCTCCATACCATTTCAAACTATATGCAGAACAGATTTTCCAGGAGGCTGGGCTCTATGAAGAGAAGTGAGGCATCAGGATTGGTGGAAAATTCATCAACAATCTGCATTATACAGATGACACAACCCTGATGACTGAAACTGAAGAGGACCTGTAGTGCCTGCAGCAGAAGGACTGTAGCCTCCAAAATGGATTGAAACTCAATATCAATAAAACAAGATTCTCACCACTGGGCCAATTGGCAGCAACAGGATGGATGGTGAAGAGACTGAAATTGTTCACAGCTTTAGTTTGCTTGGCTCCACAGTTAACACTCTTGGCACCAGCAGCCAGGAAATGAAAAGACATATCATTATGGGAAAGTCTGCTGTTAGGGGCCTCTCCAAAGTACTGAAGAGCAATGGGTGTCACTCTGGAGACTAAGGTGTCTGATAAATAGTCTGATAAAGGCTATGGTCTTTGCAATCACTTGCTATGGATCAGAGAGCTGGACAATGACTAGGGAGTATAGAAGGAGAACTGATGCCTTTGAGCTGCGGTGCTGGAGAAGAGTATTGAATATACCATGGACAGCTAAAAAAACGAACAGGTTTAACCTGAAAAGGGTTAAACCAGGCTGCTCCTTGGAGGCAAGGATTCTGAGGCTTCGTCTGACATACTTTGGACATGTTGCAAGGAGGAACCAGTCCTTGGGGAGTTACGCCATGCTTGGGAGGTTGGAGGGAAAGCGCAGGAGAGGAAGACCCTCTATGAGGTGGATTGATTCAGTGACTGGAGTAATAGGGATGGGTGTCCCGGAGACAGTGAGACTGGCACAGGACAGAGCAGGGTTTAGGGCTGTTGTACATAGGGTCGCTATGAGTTGCAGGTGACTGGACAGCACATAAAACAACATGAGTGTTATCATCTTATCATCTCACTGTTGTAAAACAGGAATTTCTTCCTGTGGGCGGTCAGGCTCTAAACTCCACTGGAAGAACTGCTCATCTTTCTCCCTTGGAGCAGCTGGTGGATTCGTATCGCATGCCTTTGAGTTGGCAACACAACTCCTTACCCACTAGGCTACTAAGACTTTTATTATTGTACTATCCTAGATCAGAAGGTATTACTGAAACTTATGGTCAAATTTTAATAAGTTAAATTTAAAATTAAGTGTATAATTTAAAATTATGTGTATAATGCCACTGTAGTTTAATCCCAACCAAGTTGCACTGCTAATCCAAAGACAGTTTGTATTCACTAGCAGCTCCAAAATAGGGTCAATCTCCTCCTGTGAGATTCACAGCACTGGAACTTAACAGCAATGAGTAATGAGAGTAAATAATGACAGTGAATACCATTGCTGATATACAATGTTAAAATTTTGATTCCTATCACTCTACTATAGCTATATGACCTCATTACCACTGAGTCAGAACCAACTCATAGATAACCCTCCAGTGGGTTTTCAAAGGGTATAAACCATGTGGGAAAAGACTGCTCATCTTTCCTGCAGAATAGCTGATAGATTGAACTTTCTGCCTTTGGGTTGGCAGGACAACTCTTTACCATAGGCCACTTTAGAATGTTAAAATCTTAGCAAGTTGCATTGCCATCCTTCATTGGAAGGATCTAATGCATATGAATTATGATGTTGCATAGGAATACTGCATGCATCACACAATGTCAGAAGAATGAATAAATTGGTCTTGAAGGAAGTATAGTCAAAATTCTTCTTAGCAGTGAGGATGGCAAAACTTTGACTCACACACTTGAACAAGTTATTAGGGACCACTCCCTGGCAATGAACATACTGCTTGGTAAAATAAAAAGGTCAAGAAAAAGAAAACGTTCAAAGAGATGCACTAAAACAGCAGTCCCAACAATGGGCCTAAACATAGCAACAACTGAGAGCATAAAACCAAGCAGTGTTTCATCAAAAGCCATGACATTATCAAGTAAATGCTTGTAAACATAAGATTTGGTAAAGATTAGGTAGAACTAAAAGTACTCTGAAAAACATAGCAGAGTAAGAGATAACTACAGTATGTGCCCAAAAAGACTACACCTAACAAAAACTACATACTGTTTAAAATGAGGGAGTTTGGGTTTTGGGGGTTTTTTTTGCCAGTCAAGTCAGAAATTCACACTCTTAACAGTGTGATCCTTCCATAACAACAAGCAATATTGTTCAAGCATTAGGGTTATTTATATAACTTTCTTTTAGAAGTCTAACTTACCGCGTACCATCTGCTTTCCAGCTTACTTTATATGGCTTCTGTTCTAAAAGTTTAATATTCTGCTTGTCCATGGAAACAGGCTGTGCTCCTGGGAATCCAGACCTTAAAAGAGGAATATTTCATTACAATTATGCCTGATATCCATTCAAAGCAATAAATGTTCTAAATCAATCTCATAAGATCACATATTCTTTCCACCATAAGATTAATATAATTAAAATAATAGCTTTCATAAGAATACTATTAAGAGGTTATCATTTTCTTGGCATTTTAGGATGCATGTTAACAAAGTTCTAAATTTTCCTTATTACACTATAAGTAAGGAGCTCTAGTGGCTTAGAGGTTAGTAGATGTAGTGCCATTCCAAAGGCACATGACTCAATCCCACCTATTGCTCTATGGGAGAAAGATGGGTAATCTCCTTCTGTGCAATTTTTATGGCCTCTGAAAACCCACTGCAGGGTCAGCTATAATTCGTTCCAATTTGATAGTGCATATCAATAACACACTACTATAATTAAGGGCCCTGGTGTAACAATGGCTTAAGCACTCAGTTGCTAACAGAAAAGATAGTAGTTTGTATCCACTGCCTCTTAATAGACAGAAGATGAAGCAACCTGCTTCTGTAAAAATCTGCAGCTTCAGAAAACTGAGGCAATTCTACTTTCTCCAAAAGGGTCACTTTCACTTGAAATTAACTCCAAGCCAACAGGTTTAATTTTTGGTGACTAAGTAAATTTTAAAACATTAATAACCATGAACTAAACAATAGAGCAGATATGTATAGAAGTCTTTTATTTGAGGGGAAAATTTAAATTTCAACTTAAACCCATATTTCTCCATTATGATACTACCAACTTGGTATGACATCAGAAGGCTAGCAAACTTCTCCTCAAATGATTCCCAGAAGTGGCAAAACAAGGAAAAATAAAGTCCAAGATTAAGAAATACTGACAACAGCTGAACACAATAACCTTATTTCTTCATCATTTCCAACTTTTTAAATATTTCTAGCTAATTTCTCTGCTCTGTATGTACCAGTCACAAAGTTCTTTATTTGAAGAATTTATATTATAAATTGCTAACAATATCCTATTTCATTTATACAAGTTATAGTACAATATTCTGCCACAGACAACAATGACTAATAGAAATGACCCCATACCAATCCTGTGAGCCACAGGTAAGAGCTGTAAACTTACTCTCAGAGTCCTATCCCAAGTAATGTCTAATAAATACTTTAAAGTCACAGTGGAGGAAAAACTATTTTAAAGCTGATTTACCCAGGCATCAAACTGAAAATGAGCAAAATTCACGTTTCTCTTCTTCTCCATCTGTGAAGTGATAAACCAGCCCAAACAAGATTCAGCAGTAAAAGCAATGATACAAATGTTAGACACTGACAACAATAATTTTTTATTCTTTTATGAAAGTATGTAAGTCATCTAATTTTGACTCAACCATCTGATTATTGCACTCCTTCTGTAGAGAAAAACTTGATCAATTTTTGACATCTTTTTAAGCACTGTCTGAAAATACACAAACTTTGAACAGGAAAGAAGGTATGTGAGTGTTTGTATTAGTTTTAAATATTAGAGTACAAATGATCAAGTAGTTGTTAAAACATTAAAATGAAAATATTTACCCTTCCCAGGCACAGAACTGATGGCACTTCTGCTGAACCTCTGCTAACTTTGGTTGAGTTGTTACTTGCGTTACACCTTTCACAGTTATGCCTTCCAAGAAAATGGCACCCTTAAAAGAAACAGGGGAAAAAATATTTTATTACAATAAATATAATTGCCAAGAAAGAGAAGGAGATTATTGTAAAAAATCTGAGCAAGTCATTTTATGAAACAGAAATAGTTTGCTAGAAGGGGCTCTATAAATCTCCCTGGGATTGTACCTCAGTTTGTGATTTTTAATGTATATAATGTCTATTTTTATGTATATATAAAGTGTTTATATAATAATTGTAAGGATATTAATAATGGAGGGAATATTACAATTTATATATATTCTCTCAACTCAATAACTCTCCAAGGAAGACTGGGATTGTATTTCTCTCAGAGATGCGCATCTGTAACATAAAGACTTTATACAATTTATTGATGTAGTAGAAACAAAATTTGAACTGAGGCCTACAATCCACCAATAATCCACACCTGGAGAGTAGAAGAGGCATTAAAAAATTGGTGTAACAAATTAAAAAAGGATTAAATAGTGAAAACTGAACTGTGAAACTATTCTGGAAACTGGAATACAGCCAAAGCAGTACATAAAGTGGCTAAGCCACCGTGATAAATGTATCAACATGAAAACTAAATACTACTTATTACTGAATTTTTAATCTAAATTTTTTTAACTTCAAACTATATAAAATGTTTTGTGTGTTATAGACAGCATATTTTTGAAATGTTACAGAGAAGATTAACAGGGAATTTATAAATGGAACAAAAAACACTTGCGAAGATTTTTTAAAATAAAAAATAGTGTAGATTTACGGTACAATTACTCTGAGATGAAGGGTTGCCCTTAGTCTCAAGTAAAATCTATAAAACAATTCAACTCCATTAATGTTGTTGTTGTTGTTGTTACGTGCCATAGAGTTCCTTGTGACTCATAGCAATCCTATGTACAACAGCCCTAAACCCAGCTCTATCCTGTGCCAATCACATTGCCTCTGACACACCCATTCTGATTATCCCAGGCACTGAATCAATCCACTTCATAGAGGGCCTTTCCCTCTTGCACTGTCCCTCAACCCTCCCAAGCATGATGTCCCTCCAAGGACCGGTCCCACCTTACAACATGTCCAAAGTATGTCAGACTAAGCCCCAGAATTCTTGCCTCCAAGGAGCAGCCCAGTTTAAGCCTCTCCAGGATGAACCTGTTTGTTTTCTTAGCAGTTCATGGTACCCTCAACACTCTTCTCCAGCACCACAGCTCAAAGGCATCAATTCTCCTTCTATCCTCCATAGTCATTGTCCAACTCTCTGACGCATAACAAGTGATTGCAAAGACTATGGCCTGTGTCAGATGCACCTTAGTCTCCAGAGACACCATTGCTCTTCAGAACTTTGGAAAGGTCCCTACCGTAGACTTTCTTATCAAAATAAGACTTTTCATTTCCTAGCTACTGTTGTCAAGAGTGTTGACTGTGGAGCAAAGCAAACTAAAGCTGTGAACAATCTCAATCTCTTCACCATCCATCCTGATGCAGTGGTGAGAATCTTTGTCTTCTTGACATTGAGCCTCAATCCATACTGAAGGCTGCATTCCTTGACCCCCTGCAGCAAGCACTCAGGTCCTTCTCAGTTTCAGCAAGCAGGGTTGTGTCATCTGCATAATGCAGACTGTTGATAGATCTTCCACCAATCCTGACGCCCCATTTCTCCACATAGAGCCCAGCCTCCCAGATAATCTGCTATGCCTACATGTTGAAAAGGTATGGAGACAAAACACATCCCTGGCGTATGCCCTTCCCAATTCTGAACCATGCAGTGTTTCCTTGCTCTGTTCTGGTGATGCCTCTTTTTTTTTTTTT